CCCCCCCCCCCCCCCCCCCCCCCCCCCCCCCCCCCCCCCCCGCCCGCCCCCCCCCCGAGTTGTGAACATCTGCAATTTACATAATATATCTAGATGTATATCTAGATGTTCAGATATTCAGATATTCTGATATTCAAGCTAGATATTTAGATGTTCAGATGTTCTAGAAATGTGGGAAAGGGAAGGTGAGGATGGCAGGGGCAGATGAGAGTGAGATGCTCCCTGATATTCGCCACCCTCAAAGAAATGAGGAAGATATCTGAATATCTGAACATCTAGATATTATGTAAATTGCAGATGTTCACAAATCAGACCCTACTGGGAGAACAATATGAAAAGTTATTTTTTTCGAACATGTCGTTTTTGCTACATATGTGCCAAAAGTTTTTTTCGGAAGGACCGGAACCAGAGCCGAGACCAGAGCCGAAACTCCTATCCTCCTATCCATGTTAGATTCATGTTTAGACACGGGCGGGACGGTCCGGGCTTGGTCCTGGTTCTGCTAAAAAATGTTTTGGAGGGGGGACCGTTCGACTCATATCTAATAGCGGCAAATAATGTCAATTATTTACTTAACTAGGCGCAGTTGTCAATAAGTATTATATATAGAAATAAAATTTCAGAAACCTCCAGTTGAGATGCTTAACTGACTTATTAATACCAAGTACACATGTAAAAACTTGTATTACTTGTTTGAAACGAATATGCTAGTCGTTTCCATAAAACGGGTCACAATAATTTGTGAGGACGCAAAACGGAGTTATGTTTCTTTTGTAATATTTTTTCTTTTTAAATACTGTAGGTAGATAACGTTCATTTTTTTTTTCTTTTTCATTGATGACAAACATCTTTAAGAAAAACATGTTTTCATGACCAAACATTTTTTGAAACTAATAAATACATTGTATGTTTCATAACAGTACACATCGTTTAGAAAAACTTTTAGTATCTTCTTTAAAAAGGGCGTGCTGTGACGCCCTTTATCCATATAGGACGAAGTATGAACTTCATTTCAAATATTCGACTATCATCTACTGCTGTTCCATGCTGCATTTTATTAACAGCTACGCTTTGCTTAAGTTACGTATGTTTCATTACGAAACAACGTCGAATAAAGAAGAAAGAACGACGTGTGATTTACATGAATGCTGTATCATCGTGTTTTCCTCCTAATCAATATAGACAATCCCAAATGAAAGAAAAGTTTATTGAAAATTATTGTGGTGGATGTAAGAACATTCTAGAAGAAGATTTAAATTTTATTGATAAAGTATTCCAAAAATCAATGATAGAAACGTGTTATGTGAATTTACCAGAAAACGAATTATTTAAAGGATTTAATCGTGAAACATATACAAAATACGTTAAATCGACTTTGTTCGATTTAGCATGTCGTGCCGGACGTGATGTAATAAGTCAATCTAATTTTTCATGTGAAGATATCACTCATATTGTATTTGGAACAATGACGTCTACAATATACGCACCCACACTTGATGTGCTTATTATGCAAGAACTCAATTTAAATTTAAACACAAAACGCTTGAATGTTGAAGCAATGGGGTGTATAACAGGATTTCGTTTGACTGGTCTATGTCGTGATATTGCATTGCAAGATGAACATAATGTTGTTTTGCTACTGGTTTGCGACGTACGCTCAGCATTAGGTAATCAACTGATACCACATAAAGCAGGTCAACCAATTGAAAAACAAAACGTTATTGTCTCTGCGTTGTTTCGTGATTCAGGCGGAGCTGCTATCTTCTCACAAAACAAATCAGGTGTATCAGTGATTGATCATCGAAGTTATCTGCTTCCAGATAGTTACGATTTTGCATTATTACAAGAATATGATAATGGTTACATACATTTGTATTTAGATAAACAATTGCCTGTTTGTGTATTTCAGCATGTACCTCTGTTAGTTACCGAGTTATTAATCGAATATCAATTGAAAAAGGAGAGTTGTCTATTCGCTGTTCACACTGGCGGCCCAAAAATCATCAGAGGTATACAGCAGTGTTTAGAATTGAAAGAGGAACAATTATGTGCTTCTTGGTATGTTATGAAAAACTATGGGAATTTAAGCGGTAGTAGTAATCTAGTTGTGATGCATCATATAGAACGTATGCATAACTGTACATTTAATCAATCTATATTAACTGATGAAATAGTCATGCCAAAAGATTTTTCTATTTATACTTATGTTGTTGGTCTATCGTTTGGACCAGGCATAGCTGTGGAGTGTGTTCTTTTTCAATTTTGACAATTCTATTTACTTTGAAAAATATACATATTGATCAAACGAGGTTCATGAATCGAATACTGTAAATAGATCTAGTATGTATCTTATGAAGCAAAAGAACGTGATCAACTAAAAAGAGCGAACCTGGGGTTTTCACCTAGATTCAATAAGATCTTCACATATCTGAAATTTGTTGTAGACGTGTAGCATTTCTATAAACTTTTTTAACATTATTAACAGATGCGTAGAGCGGACATTTTCTTCGTGTCTTTCTTGCTCTTTTCCTTGATAAGACTTCCTTTAACAGCAAAATAAGCAATTCTCACATTATGAACAGTTGGCGGAGTACACATTCCTTGAACGAGGAAGCTCATAGGCGTTCACAGCTATGAGTAGCTCTGCATGGCATGATTCAGTATCATGCTTAATAGGTCGGGCACTATTGGAGAAATCCTTTATTCGGGATGGTATTCGTGCATGGAACCTTCTGCCTAACGATGTACGTTCAATACATAAATTGACCGATTTTAAACTCAGATTAGTCTTGCAATATATT